AGGCGCGCAACGCGCCGCAGGAGCTCCAACCGCGAGATATGCCGCAGCAGCTGCGGGCCGCGGCGGCAGCCAGGCCGGCTGCGGCGGCGGCGCCGCCGCCCGCTCCCAGACGATGGTCTACGCCGTCGAGGAGCCGGCTGGCGAGTACAGCAGTGGGCCCGGCCCCCTCCTGACCCGGCTTGCCGCCGGGGAAGCGGCGGCGCTGCAGGCCTTGTGTTTGCGGAGCGCCTCCGTCCACATTATTTATTCAGCGCGGGAGGGCCGCGGCGTGGGTGGCCGGGGCGTGTGCCTTCTCACCCTTGAGGTAAGAGTGCGGGAGGGGGGTTCAATCGGTGGATGAGGTGTGTGTGTGAGAGAGTTTTTGCGTTGAGAGTCCGATTTTTAATAATAGGGAGAAGGCGTGTGTACTTGTTACGTGAAAACCCGCTGGGACCTGGACGCCAGCACACACGGCTAGATTTCATGGGGCGGGCCGCCTACGGCTTTAAGGCCCTGGGGTCGGAAGCGAGGCCGAGGGAGGGGGTGGTGGCGGAGGCGCGCAGGCGGGGGAGAGGAGGTGCGCAGGGTGGGGTGGGGTGGGGGGGGGGGGGGGGCACCCTGAATGCCGAGCGCAAAGCGCGCAGCGCCCCCATCTCGCGTGCACACACGCCCTGGGGGGGTCGCTCACTGCGCGGCTCTGCAAAAGCGCCCCGCCCCCGCCCCCGCCGCCCGCCCTCGCCCTCGCCCTCGCCCTCGCCATCGGTCGGGAGGGGCTCGCCGAGGAGCGCCTCGAAGACGCGCGCCTCGAGCAGGTGCTCCGTCTGTTCACAGCGAGCCGGCGCGTGAAGAGACGCCGTCCACACACCGCCCTCGCCCCCTTCGACCGGGCCGCTGGCGCCGTGCGGAGGAGCGGCAGCGCCAGCCTCGCCTCCCTCCGGTGCTGCCGCAGCAGCAGCAGCAGGTCGGAGGCGACACACTGAAGGTGGCGGCGAGGCGCCTGCAGGGGAGGGATCGTCCAGGACACGTCTAAGAAACGGACCGGGACGGCTCCAGGAACGGTGCAGGAAGGGTCTAGGAACGGACCAGGAGGGCTCCAGGAACGGTCCAGGATGGAAGGGTCTAGGAACGGACCACGCTCGAAGCACCACCGCCAGGTGCTTGTCGAGCTCGGCTAGATCTCGCTCGTTCTCGGCTAAGTCTCGCTCGTTCTTTTTTTTTTGGAAAACTGTACCCCATGTCCCCCAATGTACCCCACATTCCGCTGACGGCCTCTATCCCAAGGAAGCCCTCCACTAAGCTCGTCCGCTCGCTATGCAGAACAGACATCAAGCCTGGGCTAAACCAGGCATGATTGATGGAACCACGTCGGTGAAAAACGAAAAATTGCCCCTCCGCGAGACCTCGATAGAGTAGCGCTGAAGGCGCTCTTTTTGAAAATTTTTGATTGAAAATAGCACCCCACGTTCCCCCGACGGCCTTTGCCTGACATCCACACGAGGCATACCATGCACTTTCCTCGTCCGCTCGCGCTTGCCGCGCCGCATTGCGCCCGACTATGCCGCCGCGAGCTGCACGCCAGACCCCCGCGACGCCTATTGCTCACGGAACCCGCCGCCTCACCTCACCACCCCCACCACGCGATGCGCCCTCTCTCGCCGCGCGAGCAGCTCTGTACCCCCCTCAGCCTCGCACCGCCTGCCTACTCCCGCTCGCAGGTACAGCCGCTGCCATCGAGGAAGCCGCGAGACGCGTCCGCTGCTGCCCATTCCCCACCCTTGTCCCGCGCGCGACCGCCCTCCCTCTCTTCTGGCAAGAGAGCGACCCGCTCTCGCTTGCTCGCCAATCGCCGCCCGGCTCCAGTCCGAGCGCCGAGGACGCGAGAGAGCGCGCCGGCGGCCTCGTCTCGACGCTCACGCCGCCGACGTACTGCCCGTAGGCTCGGCTCTCCTCTCGCTCTCTCTTCCCGTTCAGCTGCATTCATTTTTGTGTTTTTGTGCAGCCGCCGTCGCTACGCGCCGAATTTTCGTCGTAGTCTCCGCGGTCTTCGATGCGTCCGCGGGTGCCGCCGGTCATCGTGGCCGCCCTCCTGGCGGCGGCGGTCTGCCACGGCGCGGGGCGCAGGCACAAGAATTGCCTGGACGCGCCGTTTCAGCAGTCGCTCCTGCAGAGGCTCATGAGATCCATTCGGCTCTCTGCAGCCGCCGACGTCGGCGGACAGTCGCTCGTGATCCTGGAAAAGCAGTGGCCCACGCACCAGCTGAGCACGGCGATCACGCGCACCCTGATCAGGGAGGTGCTCGGCCACGATGTCGTCGTCAAGCAGTGGCCGGCCACGTTCGGCTCGTACGAGCTCATCGCCAACGGCCAAGCCGACCTGGACATGGAGCTGTGGGCGACGTCTTCGGCCGAAGAGTACGACCGGTTCCACACGAGCGCGAACCGAAGGGGGGCGAACGCGAAGTACATCGTGCATGCGGGCAATACATTCGATCACGGGCGCTCCGGTCTCTTCATGCGCCCCGGCACTGGCCACGAGCACGAGCTCCTCACGGACGGCCGAATGTACTCGTACGCCAACACCACGCTCGTGCCGAAGCTGCCGACGATGGCAGAGGCGCAGTCGCTGTGCGATCCCACGCTGGAGCACGATCCGTGCCAGGAGATGCCCAACCGGATATGCCACGATCAGGAGTGCCGCGCCGTCCTCAAAGTCAACGACGTGTACGACAAGACGCTCGTCGAGAAGATGATCCGCTGCTCGTCGCTGCCGCTCGGAATCGTCTACATCGGCTGGTCGCTCGAACAGGTGCTCAAGACGTACAACAAGTCGCAATCCCTGCTCTTCTACTGGTGGGAGCCGGATGCATACATCACGCCCGATATCATACGCCTCAACTTCGACGCGCCAGACCTGTGCGACTACGGCAGCACCACCTCGAAGCTTCCGTCCAACCTTGCGTGCGACTTCAAAAATGGCGGCGTGCACAAAGGGTTCGGCAAGCGCGTGGAGAAGCTGTACCCGGACGTCAGGCACTTGGTGGAGAGCTATACGATCCAGGCGGCCACCATTTTGACGTGGCGGCGGCAAACATCGGCAGGGGGCACAGGCGCCTTGTTGCCGATCTGAAGCTTACGAGTTCGCTCGCGAGCAACAGCAAGGGCAAGGATGGAGAGGGTGAAATTCGGCTCGGCTGGAAGGGGGCCTATGTGCGCTTTGGCAACACGGAGACCGGGCTGCTCAAGTTGGTCAAAGGGCGCGGCAAGTGGTCTCCGTCGGAAGCGACGGCAGCGGCGGTGGCGGGGGAGGAGGAGGAGGCCGAGGAGGAGGGGGAGGAGGGGGAGGAGGAGGATGCCCCCAAGGGAAAGCGCAAGGAGCAGCCTGGCGATTACCCCTTTGCGCGGCAGCAGGATTGCGATCTACGTTTGTTTGATTTTGAGGCTTTCGGAGGCTTTGGAAAGGAGGTTCGCAGCACCCTGAGGGAGGCGGCGAACCAGCTGAGCAACAAACTTTCGCACGCTCAGCACCTGGACGAGGTCACATGGACCACCAAGAACGGGCACGGGCTGCAGATGCAGCGCTTGTCTGTCGTCCTCCACACCGCCGTGGCGTGGCAGACGGTGAACGAGCTAGCGTGCGGGGAGAGCGGCATTGTGCATGGTGCGGAGTGCATTGCCGTTCTTAACGGAGTCGCTTAGGCGGCTCCGGTGGTGAGCCTGTGTGTGTGCCAGTCCGCGCCAGTCTGCGCCCTTGTCGTGCCAGTGTGCTGTGAGAGAGGCTTGTATCTTAAGAATTCTCCATGGCCGGCGAGCCTCCGCTCCACCGGGTCGGCCCGCTCGTCCACAAGGCGCTCTGCTGCCTGCGCTGCGGCGGCTTCACCGCCTACCGGCCGCCCGGCGCGGAAGGCCCGATCGGCTACGGTCGCGCCGTCTCGCGGCTGATGAACCTGGAGCCGGCCGACGTGGTCGGGTACTACTCGCGCATGCTCGAGGAGTTTGGCGGATCCAAGCTCGTCCGGTACCTGCTCCGCGACTCGCTCGCGTGCACGCTCGCGCAGAAGCACAAGCTGTCGACGCGGGCGGCCGCGTACCGCAAGCTGGGCGCGACGCTGCTCGGCTTCCCTCTGCCGTCGAGTCAGCGGCCGCGCCGCTTCCGGAGCGAGCAGGCGGCGCCGACGTGGCCGTGCTCCTACACGTCCGGCTGCCCGCTCGGCCACGGCGACCAGGTGGCCGAGATGTTTGAGACGCTGCGCGAGGCAGAGGCGCACGACAAGGCTGCGTGGCGCGCTGCGGACGCGAGGGTGGGCGAGGGGCGGGCGGCGATCCGGCAGCGGAGCCCGCCCGGCTGGGCGCTGGCCGCGGGCACGTCGAGCTCAATCGACCTCTCCCTCCTCCGCCAGCTGCTCGATCGGCGGCGGGAGCTGCGCGAGGCGCGCCGGTTCGTGGAGCGCGCACCGCGCGTCCGGGACACGTCCATGACATGTCCGAGACACGGCCCCAGGCGCGCCGGTTCGAGGAGGGCGACTCGATCCGCGCCCACTTGGGCGAGCGCGGCGTGCACGTCAACGACCGCGACAACCGCTGGCACACCGCCGACGGCCGGCACGGCTCGATCGAGCCCTTCAGCGTGGAGCCTCGGAGAGAGCAGTGGGGGACCTACAGCTGACTGAGAGTCCACAGCTATTTCTACAGTATCAGACCCCAAACAGCCCAACGAGACCAGAGATGCGTGTGGTCGGTTAAAAAGATTCGCAAGGCCGACTCTCAAAGATCAAGGGGCAAGGGGTAAACAAGTATGAAGTAAACGAACGCGGCGCGCCGGCGGGGGCCCGCCGCGCGCTCGCCGCTCGTCGGCAAGTCTGCGCCTCGACGAATCGGGCATGCGAGAAGATCACTCTTCCCCCCGTCCCTAACACTGTGTTTGCATGCACATGCTCCGCGCGTGACGCGTTTAATCGGGTTTCCCGCGCCCTGGCCACGCTCTTGTGCACGCCGGCACGCGCGCAGCCCGCAGCAATGGGCGGTCATCCCGTCGTGGCGAGGTTGAGGAAGGTTGTGCCGACAACGATGAGCGCGATGCCAGTCACCTTGAGGGAGGAGACGGACTCGCCGAGGAACGCCATGCCGACAAAGGAGAGGACGGCCATCACGGCCGCCGACCAGACCGCATACGCGATCGAGATCTCGAGCGCTCGCAGAGAGAAGTTGAAGCCAAGGAAGGAGGCGGCGTAAAAGACGCACGCGAGCGCCGCCTGGAGGGGGCGGCTAAAGCCCTGGGCAGCGTGCATGAAGTAGGTGCTCACCAGCTCGAACAGAGTCGCCGCAAACAGGACGCCCCACCCCTCGGCGACGGACATGCCGCCGCGCAGCGGGAGCAGCGAGAGCAGCGCCGAGCTGTCGGCACAGGAGGACGACGGGCTCGCTGATCCCGCGGCCGGCGCGCCGCCGGCACTGGTGAGGAGAGGCTGTCCCGAGGGCGTTAGTCGCATTATAGTCGACAGAGAAAGAATTCTTAAGAACAAGCCTCTCTCACAGCACACTGGCACGACAAGGGCGCAGACTGGCGCGGACTGGCACACACACAGGCTCACCACCGGAGCCGCCTAAGCGACTCCGTTAAGAACGGCAATGCACTCCGCACCATGCACAATGCCGCTCTCCCCGCACGCTAGCTCGTTCACCGTCTGCCACGCCACGGCGGTGTGGAGGACGACAGACAAGCGCTGCATCTGCAGCCCGTGCCAGTTCTTGGTGGTCCATGTGACCTCGTCCAGGTGCTGAGCGTGCGAAAGTTTATTGCTCAGCTGGTTCGCCGCCTCCCTCAGGGTGCTGCGAACCTCCTTGCCAAAGCCTCGGGTCGAGCTTCACGGCGTTGTCCGAGTTGGAGACGAGGTCGGCGAACGGCGCGGGCAGGTAGTAGCAGATGACCGTGAGGTTGCAGCAGTGAGTCTTCGGGTAGGCCTTGGTGCCCCAAAACGGGTTGGCGAGCACCTGAGGGGAGGTTAGGGGGGGATTCGCGGGGCTCGGGTCGGCCGGAGGCTGGGGCCTGGGAGGGCGCCGCAGCAGGGATAGTGGCGGTCTATCGCGCCACCTCGAGGTGTTTGAGTGTGTGTAGATGAGGGGCTTCCCCTCGCGAAACAGGGCGTCAGTGGTGCTTGAGCTCGCGCGCCGGCAGCGGCCGTCCTGCGTAAAGAGGCCAGGTCAAGCAAAGGTCAGGTCCGGGCCAACTGTGCTAGAGCGGGGCACAGGGCTGCGGGGGGCGTTCGCGCACCCCGAAGACGGTGTTCAGCGGGAGCGACGCGGCCTTGACCGACGAGGACGGATCGATGCTCATCCAGCCGAACAAGCTCGCGAACGGCGGGCCAAAGGCGAGAATCCAGCGATCGAGCTCGTGCTCCGGCCCGGGCGGCTCTGTCCCGTGTTTGGCGTAGTTGTAGATGTCGGCGTAGCGGGTGATGCCGCTGGTCTTGCCGCAGTTCCTGCCGCTCCGAAACTTCGGCACGACCATCTCCTTTTGACTCTTGGGCACAAAGCTGTTGGCCGGGTCCGGGCTGACGACGGCGATGATGTTCTCCACCTGCTGCTGGACGAGCGGCAGGATCGCGTAGGCGTCGTTGGTGCCTCCGTCGCCCAGCTCGAGCGTCCGCAGCTCCTGCTCCCCGGCGGGGGCGTCGCGCGGCGCGATGTCCGCATCGACCTGCACGGCGATCGATTTGAGGCAGCGATCCACACAGCGGTCGAGGCGTCTTGCGCAGCGGCCGTTCGGCGCCGGGTCCAGGACTGCCGTCTGGAAGGCCATGCTTGACGCCGCGGCCGCGAGCTCGACGCTGAAGCGAGTGTAGCCGCCAAAGCAGCCACGCAGGCCTATCGAACCAGCTGCTGCCCAAGAAGGTCGAGACGTGGGGGGCGCGGGGGGCGCGGTCTGAGGCACGGTTCGTAAGTAATTGTCGCGGACGAGGGACGATGGGGCGGGTGGTCTGGTCACTGGTGCGTGGTGGAGTGGGCTGGGGAGTTGCGGGTTGGTGTAAACAAATTCCCCATAACAGCTAACCCGCACAAGAGTAGGTAAGGCCATGTCGTTTACTATCAGGACGGCAGGCGCCCTCTCTCCTCCGACCGCCCGCATCACGCGCACCAGTGGCGAAAGCGTGTACCCAGTGCTGCTCAGACCCCCGGCCCACCCCACCCCCACCCACCCCCACTCACCCTCCGGCAGCCCCCCCCACGCGCCGCTCCGTCAAGCCGCTAGGGGCACCTCCCCACCCCCACCGCTGGGTCGGGCGTGTTGGAAACGGTCTTGGCCGGCTTCTCGACCTCCTTGGCAGCCTCCTCGGCGACAGTGGCACACCACTTCTACACCTCCGTCTCCAACCAACCATCCGCGACGGGCGCCTCCTCGGCGACTGCCTCCACGGCGGCGGACACCTCGGGGGCGGCGGCGGACTTGGCGGCGGCCTCCTTGGTGGTGGCCTCCTCCTTCACGACGACGTGGTCGTTCTTGACGCCGCACGCCTGGGGGCGAGGGCGAATACGCAAGTGTTCGGAGAGACCGGAGGGACGATGACGATCCTAGCGTGCGCACGCGCACCTCGGCTCCGAGGTCCGAAGACGAGCGCGTCGGCTTCACCCTCGCCGTGGTCGGCTTCGGCCCGCTCGCGCGCGGAGGCGGCGGCTGGGGCGGGGCGCTGGTGGAGCACGCAAGCAGCGGGGCGCGCGCGACGCGGCTGCCCGACAGCGATGCCGCTGAGGCCGAGTCTTGCGTGATGCCGGGCTTCACGGGAGCCGTCGCCGCAAACTCGACGCCGCCGCCGGCTCGCACCATCGGCGAGATCTCCACGCGGATCCGCCCCCGGGGCTGCTGGTTGCCCGGCTGGAGTGCCTCGGAGATTTCTCGCGCCAACGCCCCGGCGTCGCTCAGCTCTGGCGGGCTATTGGCGGACTGGGTCTTCCGGCAAACGTGGCGCGCGGCGAGGGCGACAAAGACGGCCGCCGCGCAGACGCCCACCTGTACATGGGGCTGGGGTTGCGGACGAGCGCGAGCCTGTGCGAGGCTTTCAACAGTGTACGGGCGACGCACGGTGGCGGCAACGGTGTAGGCAACGGTGGCAGTCGTCGACCGCGGCTCCACGGGAATGGGCTCGTCCGACGTCGGCGGGGCCGGTGGGGCGTTGGGAGGTAGGCAGGCCTTCTGCAAGACATGGGACACGACCACAAAGTCGCCGTCGTCGTCCGGACTCTGCTGTGAGGAGTGGCACACCTTGTATGTCCCCGCCGCTGGCAGCCAGACAGGCACCGAACCGTTCGCGCTCATCTGGCCGCCCTGCGTGCTGCGCGCCTGCGTCGCGCCGTCGCAGTCCTTGCTCCCCGCGGGCATCAGTACGAGCCACTCGTTCACGCCGACGAAAGTGCCCTGCACGGAGAGGTGAGCGAGGCGTTAGCACCCAGTGATGTGCGGCAGGAGGGGCACTGGGGCACGGATGTACACTCCCCATCTCTCCGTCTCTGCTACCCGGGAGTGCAAGGAACGGGGGAGCAGCAACCTCGACAACGACGGCGCTGGGCGAGCCGGCCGGGACGCAGCTTGGCTGCAAACGCAGATCGGGGGGCGACGGTGGGATGGCCGGCGGCGGCGGAGGCGCATGCGGCGGAGTCGATGGCAGGGACGGGGGGGAGGGGGCCGCGAGAAAGGGGACGCTCTTGGAGCAGACCGGCTCCGGCTTCATCTGCAGGTAACACTGGATTTCGCACTCTTCCTGATGCAAGGTGAGGCCCTCCTGCCCGAGCCCGCTCCACGTCATGCCGTCCCAGCCGTCGCAGCCGTCGTCGTACATCTGGAGCACACAGGGCACGCCTGGAGACACGTCCACGAAGAAGGTGCGCTCCCCACTCGAGCCGCCCCGCGCCATCTCCAGCACCTGCTGCTCGCGGCAGAGAAGATTCCAGCTATGCTCGGTTCCGAACTCTCCGGCGCTCACGGTGATGACGTGCCGAGTCGCCGGCCCGTACGGAGGCAGCGGCGGGCTCGACGGCGGAGGCAGCGGCGGGCTCGGCGGCGGCGCTCTCGGCGAGGCGGGGCCGCAGACGCAGCTGTATGTGGAGCTGCACTGCGGAGGCGGAGCGGACGGACTGTGGTAGCCTTCCTCATTGTAGAAGACGTAGTCATAGTAGTAGCCGTAGTAAAAGCTGTTGTATGAATGTTTGAGGCAGCCCCCAGGGTGCGACGACAGCCTCTCTCCCCGGCGGTGCTGCAGCCCGAGCTCCACCGCCGCCTGCTCGCAGTCTTGCTCGGAGGAGATGGCGTGCGGGCAGAGGCCTGAATCAACGATGTTGTAGAGGGGCGGCGGGGCGGGCGGAGACGGAGGAAGCTGGGGCGGAGATGCGGGAGAGGGCGGCAACGGCAGCGGAGGGGGCGGAGGGGGCGCGGTAGGTGGCGACGACGGCGGCGCAAACTGCGAGAAGGAGACGTCATCCAGCGCCATGTCCGACGCGTAGTCCCATCCGGTCCTGCCGTTGAAACGCACCTGTGTCGTGGAGGCGGGCAGGACGACCGACGCGTCGAGCCAGGCAAAGCCCTTGTTGCCGCTCCTGCTCCAGAGCGTCGACCATCCGCTGCCATCCACGTGCGCCTCGACGGAGAGGGTGCCCATGTCCGAGCCGTGCATGTGGTAGAAGAAGGAGAGGGTGGCGTCCTGCTGGAGCGAGAAGAGCGGGCTCTCGAGCCGGTGCAGCTTGTTGTAGTGGCTAGAGGCCTCGGTGTAGAGGTAGGAGCCCGAGCCGGTGGTGTGGTCGCCGCTCGGGCCTGTGTATGACGATGGCGTGCCGCCGCTCGTGCGGGTCCAACGGTACCCGGCCGGCGCGGTGTCGGTCCAGAAGCATTTGTCCAAGTCAAAGGTGCAGCCGAGCTGCTCGGAGAGGGGAGGCGCAGAAGGCGGGGATGGAGGCGGAGACGAGGGCGAGGCCGACGGCGGCGGTGGCGTCAGCGGCGGGGAAGGCGGTGCCTCCACGCAGCATCCGTCGCACTGCGGACATGATAGTAGCAGAGTCTGGGCTACGAGGTCGTCGCATGACATGCTCTGCAGGAAACTGCAGTAATGGGAGGAACCGCACTGCGCGGTAGCGTTGCACGCTCCCCCTCCCAGCGGAGGTGATGGCGAGGCAGACGGTGGCGGCTCCGAGGGCGAGGCCGCCGGCGGCGGAGGGGAGGGCGATGTCGACGGCGGCGGAGGCGAGGGCGAGGCTGCGGCGAGCGTCAACAGAAGCAGATACCTCATTAGCGGCACTGGACCTGTCGAAGACACGCTGTCGAGGACTCGTCAGCTCGCATTTTTGCGGCGTGCCTTTAAACTCACTGATTTCTCTCTCTCTCTCTCTCTCTCTCTCTCTCAGATCAACAAAAGTGGTATTGTCTCCCGCTAACGGATCTGATCTGCACTTGCAAGACAAGACAGACACCCTCCCTGCTCCACACGTGTGCACACACCCTCACCCTCTATCCTCTCTCCTCTCTCTCTCTCTCTCCTCTCTCTCTCTCTCTCCTCTCTCTCTCCTCTCCTCCTCTCCTCCTCTCCTCCTCTCCTTGCCTGTGCTGTCTGCCTGACTCAGGCGCTCAATCTGCCGATGCGTGATCGTGTGTGTGGGTCGCTCCGAGGGGCCCTGTGTGATCCGACGGGTAGGGGGTCTGTGCCCGGGCGGTGTCCGGTGCGGAGTCTCTCTCTGATCCCGCCTGTGATGTTGGGTGTGAGGTCGTGGCGGCAGTGAACCCAAGGGGGGGGAGCTGATCCCACTCAGTAACCAACTCTCAGGGGCAGTAGGTGGGCGAGCTTCAAGCGCGCTCATCTCGATCGACAAGGCGTCGCTACGCGCGGTCTCCGCGGGGGGAGCTGCGTCGACGGGTGCGGGACCGCGGCGCAGCCGGTGCCGCGGCGATGCCTCCGGCTGTTGCGGCGGGCGGCTTGCTGCTCGCTGCGATGGCGAAAAACTCGTCTCGTCGCACACCAAGGGCTTATGCTCTGGCGAGACGTGAGGCGCATGCGCCCAGGATAGGGAGGGCGCATGCGTAACGACGCTGCTAGAGATGCCTTTCGGGGCCCAGAGATAAACTTCTGATGCCATGCGTGACCTAGTAGTGATCTCCCCAGATCTCCCCAGATCTCCCCCTATCTGCGGCACGTTCGAGATGCGCTCGCGGCTGCCTCTGCGGGCGCGTTCGGCGGTGCACGAGACGTATGGCGCCAAGGGCAACGCGCAGCTGCTAAACTCGTACGGCTTCGCCCTCGTCGCCAACTTCGAGCCGGACCGCAGCAGCAACGACGTGCGGCCGCTGCCGCTCCCTGCACCACGAGGCGACTCCCTCATCTACCAGCCCCCTGCCAACGCGCTGCTCCGGATTGGGCCGAAGCGCTACAGCTATCCGCCGCTGGCGGCCGCGCTCGACGCTTTCCGAGCCGCCGCCGCCGGGGCTTCGAGCAGCGTTGGGGCATCTAGCCGTGCCGGGCGGCGGCCGGGGCTGTCTGCCAGGCTAGCGCTGGAGGAGGAGGCGCTGCGCCGCCTCGCCGCCGCCCTCGATGCCGAGCTCAAGGGGTGCGTCCACCTCGGCCAAGCTCGGCCAGCCTTTCTCCGCCCGCTCGTAGCAGTCGGCGGCTACCACTCCACTCCTCTCTGCCAGTTCGGCAGTGAGCGTCTCACAGCTCCACCACTCCACTCCTCTCTGCCAGTTCAGCAGTGAGCGTCTCACGGCTCGCTGCGAGTGCCCCGGTGGGAGAGTGCGTGTACGGGGGAGTGCCTGCACCCCCACGACTTCTTGCGAACCCACCCTCCCCTACCCCCAGGGGACCCGAACCCTCTGCTAGCCTATCACTAAT